CAGCAGCGGGAGAGGGGGGAGGGGAAAGGGACTTCGGGACTGGCGGGCTGACTCCGAATGATTTGCTGGTCACGCTGAGAGAGCTGAAGCAGTGCACCGAAGAAGAAGCAGCAGCAGCAGCACCAGCAGCAGCAGCAGCAGCAGCAGCAAGGAAGGGGGAGGAAGAGGATGACGAGGCCGAAGAGGCGCAGCAGCTGCTGCTGCAGCTGCAGCAGCTAAAGGCTGCTGCTGCTTCTCCGAACTGCGCAAAGGAGACCCTGGGGGAGCTGCTGCTCTCCATGCAGCTGGACGGCGTTGCTGCAGCAGAAGCAGCAGCAGCAGCAGCAGCGGGAGGAGCAGCAGAAGCAGCAGCAGAACTGGACTTCGAGAAGGAAATAGCAGCAGCAAAAAGAATCAAAGAGAGACTGCTGGCGGAGGAGCAGCTGCGGGCCCTTTTGCTGCCGCTGAGAGACACAATTGAAGCAAAAGAAATAAAAGAATTAAAAGAAACAAAAGAATTAAAGGAACTAAAAGAAACAACTTTTGCTGCTGATCTTTTGACAGCAATTGCTGCTAAGGAGACGCGAGGCAGCCTGGAAACGCCCAGCAGAAGCAGCAGCAGCAGCCGCAGCAGCTTGCAGCGCGACTGCTGCAGCAGAGGCCCCAGCAAAGCAGCCGCGGCAGCAGCAGCTGCAGCAGCAGCAGCAGCAGAAAGTGGGGACTCTAGAGACAGCGGCGCGGAGACTGATGAAGAAAACGAAGTAAGAAAAGTAAAAGAATTAAATTTAAAGAAGTAATTTAGAAACAAAAATCCGAAAAGAACGAATGTAGAAAGTGAAAACCTGCTGCTGCTGCTGCTGCTGCTGCTGCTGCAGGGGTCCCCGGAGCTGTTCAAGCTGCAGCAGGAAGCTGTGAAGCATTGTCTTCTGGACTTACAGAAGCAATGCAGATTGTTATATCCTTTTGGAGTTTGCGGGGGAAAAGCGAAAGAAATAAAAGTGCATTTGGAGACAGTTGCTGCAGCAGCAAGTTTCCGGGAAATTCGGGTGTACATACAGCTCTTCCAAAACTGCCTCTTCAGCGGACTGCTGCCAAGCAGCATGCAGAAGGAGACTCAGAAGTTATATTTTGTTGCTCTTGCTGCTGTTGCTAGCGCGCTTAGAAGCAGGAGACGCCCAGCAGCAGCAGCAGCAGCAGCCGCGCAGCAGCAGCAGCAGCAGCAGAGAGAGGCGTTCGACGCCGGCTGCTGCTTTCTTTGAGCCCCGCGGCCGCGCTGCTGCGGCAGCAGCTGCGTAGAGGAATTTTAAGAAAGAAAATAAAACTGCGAAAAGAAAAATTAGTCCAAAGATGTGCTGGTGGGCAGCAGCAGCAGCAGCAGCAGCAGCAGCAGCAGCAGCAGCAGGTTGCGACGCCGCGATTTGTTTTTGGGGTTTTGTCAGTCAATTTGGACGAGTGGCGAGCAATAAAGGCATTAAGATGAGCGAAGTTTGGAAAGTGCAAAACAAAGAAATGAAAAGTGGAATTAAGTTAATTTTTGTTTTTATTTTCTTTATTGTTTTATTTTCTTTTTTGAATCTGCACTTTGCTGCTGCGGAGTTGCTGCTACCGCGGTCTTTTCGAAAAGTTGAAAACGCAACCAAGTCCGGGAAAGCTGGCGAATAAAGCACCATTAATCGAATAATTTAATTAATTTTCGAATTTAAATGTTTAATTAAACCATCTAATCTTTAATTCTGCCATTTGTTGTGCAACTGGGAGTTAATTGGTGGCAGTTTCGGTTAATGGGTCGTGGCTGCTAGCGGGGCTTTTCCACTCCGCCTTTCGGGCTGCAAAGTGCAATTAATCGCGAAATAAATGAAGTAAAACAATAAAAAGGAATAAAAATAATAATTAGATTAATTAGAAGTGGTAAATGTGGAGAAAAACCGGCAAAAGCGAACGGATCCGCGGCGCCGCATGCATGCGCACCGCGCGCGCATTTGGGGTGTACGTACACCTGGAGGTGCGCGTACACCTGAATTCTGCTGCGTTCTTTCTGTTTTTTAACGCTTTCCGCCATGCAGCTCCAAGGGCCGACGAGAAGTCCCAAATGCTTCAAATTTGCGCTAAATGTCTTTCTTTTCCTGTAGAAATAAACTTTTTCGGAAACAAATAAATGCCTTTCGAAGCCTGATGTGTCTCGTGTGCTTTCTGTGGGGCCCCGCGAGGTGTCTGTACACCTCAGCACCCGGTGCAGCGGGCGAAGGCGTTTCTTGCTCTATAAAGTGTCTTTGCTGCGGTGGATGGGGCGGGCTGCTCTGAAAGTATTTATTTTTTCATTTATTTATTCATTTATTTATTTCCTTTTTACTTATTTGCGCATTTATGTAAAGGGTGCTTCGAGGTTATTCCATCTTGCAAACAAAGCTGGAGAACAGCTTCTGAAAGAATGCGTTTATTACCTCGGAAGCAACTGCTGCTGCTGCTGCTGCTGCTGCTGTTGCTGCAGCAGCAGCGGCTGAGGATTTGCTGTCTCCGGAGGAGACAGGAGCAGCAGCAAGGGGCGGGTTTGGTCGTTTTAATAATTCTGCTTTTAAAGGATTCTTTTTAAAATGAATTATGCAAATAAATGAATGAATAAATAATTAATTGAAGTTTCCGCGAAATGCATGCATTCGTGGAGAGAGCAGCAGCCGTTCTTTTTAACTTGTCCGTTTTTTAAATTGAATAAATGAGTGAATACATTAAAATAAATAAATAAATAAATAAAATAATAAAACCGAAAATAAAAAATAGTGGTTTATGTGTTTTCGACCGCAAGTCGCCACGCGTGTCTCTTACTTTTGTGGAAGTTTTATAAATAAATACTAAATACAAATTAATAAATAAATAATTAAGTTAAATTAATTAAACCAAACTAATGCGGAGGCAAGCCCGAGGCTCGCCCTCCAGCTCCAGGTGTACGTACACCTCAGCTGTTTCAAACAAATTAATTCTTTTCTTTCTTTCTTTCAAAAGCCCCGACTCAAACAGAATTTGCATTTATGATTTTCTGCCATTTCTGCCATTTTTGCTTTTAGCACTGTTACTGGCATTTATTAGTACTTCTATTGCTGTTATTAGTGCTAGTAATGGTATACTATTATCATTATAGTATTAGTATTATTTCTATATTATTATTATTTCTATAATAATAATAATATTATTATTATTATTATTTATTATTATTATTATTACTATTATTGTCAGGATGTTATTGTTAGTGTTATTGTTGGTATTATTATATTACTATTATTGCTATTATTGGCAGTATTCTTGCTAGTTATTACACCATTATTGCTAGTATTGTTACTGCTACGAATACCAATTGTACTATTTATTATTGTTACTTTTATTATTATTACTAGTAATGCCACAATTAGAATTGTTATTGATTATTGCTACTCTTATTATTTTTATTATCACTGGTATTATTTATTATGTCATGCAACTAATTATCATCATTTAATATTATAATAATTAATGATTATTGCTTTTGGTATTGCCATTATTATTATTATTATTATTATTATTATTGTTATTATTATGATTGTGATTATGATTATCACTATTATTATTATTATTATTATTATTATTATTATTATGTTTATTATTTATTATCATTCCTGGTATAATTATTATTTACACTGGTACTATTATGCATATTCGCATGCATATTTGTGGGGAAGTGTATTAAGTTCTTTAAATATATTTGCGAAGATAAGAGCTTATTGTTAAAAGCATAAATGCATTTATGCAAAGAAATGATTACTGGCATAAATATGCATTTATAAAATAAAAGACTATTAGCATAAATGCATTTATAAGAAGAAAAACTTGATGGAATAAAGCTACTTGTCAAAATAAAAGATTATTGCCATAAATGCACCCACAAGAATAAAAGATTATCATTATAAATGCATTTATTTAAAAAAGTGTTCTTGAACAAATGAAAAAGAAGCTTTTAATGCTGGTGTTTCAGCCTCTGAAGAAGAGCCACTTCTCTTTTGTCTCAAATTCAAAACTTTGATTTAATTCCGGAAAACAAACTCATTTTTGGGAAATATAATTCATTTATCAGAAATATAATTCATTTTCTATTTCCGAAATTCTTTTAAAAGACGAAATTTGCAAAATTCATTTTCCTGAAGACTTTGGGTTTTGCGGGGTGTACGTACACCCGGTGGCCGTGCGCAAAGTCGCCGCTTTTTGTTTTTTTGTTTTTTAACTCAATTTAATTTAATTTAATTTTACTATTTTATTTATTTTGTTTTATTATTTAATTTTTATTATTTATTTCTTTTCACTTCCTCTTGTTTATTCATTGTTGCTCAGACGCCAAAAACAGCGGCTCAACTCTTCTAATATATATATATATATATTTGAATAAATAGCTTTTCTAGATTTTGTAATTTTTAATAATAATAATAATAAATGCATATATATATATCTAAATAAATAAGTAAATATATATATATATCTATAGATCTATACTATATTTTATTTTAAAAAATGCATTTCTTTACACCTTGTGCTATTTCTAAATGAATATAGGCCTTCTTCTGTTTTACTGTCTTTCTTATTAATTTAATTTAAATTTAAATTAAATCAAATTAAATTGCATCAAATTTTAATTCTTATTTATTTATCTTTTCTCTTTATCTTCTTTTCCCTGCTGCGAATCAGCAGATTGAAGAAGGTGGAAATGGTAAACAAATTAACAAACTAATAATTAATTAATTAATCAAATAATAAAAAAAATAAATAAATAAAAGAAATAATAAACAATAAATGAATAAAATAATAAAAACTAAGTAATAAATAAATAAATACATGACATTTCATATGGATAAATAAATAGACAGAGAGAGAATAGAGTAATTACCTCCGCTGAACTGACTTCTCCACTTTTTAATTTCTTTTTTGAATTTATTTCTAAAGTTCATTTGAATGCAATTAAATGCAATTAAATGCAACTAACTGAACTTTAGAAATAAATAAATGCATTTAAATGCATTTAAATGCATTTAATTGTTTTAATTTTCTTTTTTGAATTTCTTTTGGCGATGCAAAAAGAAAGAAATCCAAAAAGAAGTTTCTTCGGGGCCGAGCGAAAGGGCGGGGGCCTCCCCCGAGGTGTACGTACACCGCCGCTGCGCGCTGCTGTGGGGCCCCACAGCAGCAGCAGCAGCAGCAGCAGCAGCGGGGAGGGGGGCTTGCTTTGAGGGCTTTGCTGCTGCAAAGGAGACAAAAAGGGACAGCGGAAATGGAGCTTCAGCAGCGGCAAGAAGCAAAGAGACACACGAACTGTTCTTGCTGCCGTTTTGCTGCTCCCCGCCTTCCTCTCGTCTTCCCGCTGCTGCTGCTGTTGCTGCTGCTGCTGCGGTGCTTCCCGCCGCTGCTGCTGTTGCTGCTGCTGCTGCTGCTGCAGTATTTGCTGGTGCTGCTGCTGCAGTAGCTGCTGCTGCTGTTGCTGCAGTAGCTGTTGGCGCTGCTGCTGCTGCAGCGTCTGCTGCTGCTGCTGCTGCAGTGTCTGCTGCTGCTGCTGCAGTCTCTGCTGCTGCTGCTGCTGCAGTGAAGGGCTGCGGCAGCAGCAGCCACGCAGTTGTGTCTGCTGCTTCTGGCTGTTTCGAATCTTGTGTCTCTTTTGCATTTTCGATTTCTTTAATTTCATTTTTATTTTTAATTTCTTCCATTTCTTTTTTATTTTTATTTTCTTTTTCTTCTTTTTTCTCCTTAAGGGCCTCAGCAGCAGCAACAGAAAGCGCCAGCAGCCACAATTTATATCTTTTTCTTTTATTTAACTTTTCTGATCTTTTCCCCTTTTTGATTTTATTGATTTTATTGATTTTATTTATTTTATTTATTTTATTATTTATTTTATTTGTCTCCTTTTCCTCCATTTGCTGTGCCCGCCGCAAAAGAGAAGAAAACCACAAATAAAATGGAGACAGAAACAGCAGCAGCAAATGATGGCCAGCAGCAGCAGCAGCAGCAGCAGGGGGAGCAGCAGCAGCAGCTGCAGCAGGCAGCAGCAGCAGGTTGTTTTCCTGCCTCCTTTCCACTGCAGCAAGAGCATTCCTCAGCAGCAAATGGGGCGCCGCAAAGTCCACCAAAGCAACAAAAGCCTTAAAAGGAGGCGCAGCAGCAGCAGCAGCAGCAGCAGCAGCAGCAGCGCCGCCCAGCAGCAAGCGAGAGAAGGCCCAGAAGCAAAGCTGCAGCAAAAGAGACAAATCCAAATCCAACTGCTGCAGCAAAGCAAACAGCTCCAGCTCATCGTACAGAACAGCCCCACCAAATAATTTGCTGCTGCTGCTGCTGCTGCTGTTGTCGCTGTTGCTGCTGCTGCTGCTGTTGTCGCTGCTGCTGCTGCTCTTGTGGCCAGTGCTGCTACCGCAGCTGCTGTGATCACTGTTGCTGCAGCAGCAGCTGCCGCCATAGTCGCTGCGTCTGTTGCTGCTGCTGCTGCTGCTGCCGCGCAGCAGCAGGTCCAAGAGCGTTGCTGCTGCTGACGTTTGGGGCTGGACGCGCGCTGCGTCTCTGCAGATTTGCTGCATGCAGAAAGCAGCAAGAGGTTTGTCGAAAATTAATTTAAAATTATTTTTCAGATTTGCTGCAGCAGCAAAACACCCGAACTTGTCGCAGCAGGCCTCCCAGCTGTACGTACACCTCAGCGCCACACACGGAGACACCCCACACCCCAAACTGCAGCTCTCACGTTGTTGCTGCTGCTGCAGTAGCTGCTGCTGCTGCTGCTGCAGCAGATGCTGCTGCTGCTGCTGCAGTACCATTTGCTGCTGCAGTGGCTGCTGCTGCTGCATCATCTCCTGTTGCTGCAGTGCCTGTTGCTGCTGCGGTACCTGTTGCTGCTGCACCATCTGCTGCTGCTGCATCCTGTGCTGCTGCTGCATCGCCTGCTGCTGCTGGTTTTCCTGATCCGCAGCAGCAGCAGCAGCAGCAGCACTTGTCAAAAGGAGCTTTTCTTTGTTCTTTTTGGCTTTAATTAATTTGTTTTTCGTGACTTCTTTAGCAGCAAAAGCAGCAAGCAGCGCATGCAGCAAATGGGAAGAAGGCCCTCGTTTTGCTGCTTCGGATTTGTCCCCTTTTGTCTCCTTTTTCGAATCTCCAAAATTAAAAATAAATTTCAATTTTTGATTTTCCACTTTTTGCGAAAAGTCGCGCGCGCAGCAGCTGTCCATACACCCCAGCCCGCCCTCGGGTGTATAGGCACCTCTACGCTCCGCCGCTTTCTTTTCCATTTTCCGAAACTTCGAAAACAAATAAACAATTCTTTTAATTGTTTTGATTTAATAATTATTTATAATTATTATATTTCATTAATCTTAAATTGTTTTGTTTTATTTAGTCCTTTTAATTCAGTCTTTGCTTCCACCCGGCTGCTCCCGCCAAACAAAAAAATTGGACGTTGTTGAAGAAGTGCTGCTGCTGCTGCTGCTTCTCCTGCTGCAGCAGCAGCAGTAGCAGCTGCTGCTGCTGCTGCTGTGGCTGCGCACTGCTCGAGCACTCCTGGGAACACGAAACCGTCCCTGCTGCAGCTGCTGCTGTTGCTGCTGTTGTTGCAGCAGCTGCTGTTGCTGCAGCAGCAGCAGCAGCTGCTGCTGCTGCTGGTACACTCGGCTTGAGCACTCCTGATGGGAATATGAAATGGCTGCTGCTGCTGTTGCTGCTGCTGTTGTTGTTGCTGCTGCTGCCGTTGCTCCTGCGGATGCCTCTGCTGCTGCTGCTGCTGCTGCTGCCCTCAACCGTGCTGGTTCTGCTCTGACTGCTTTGCCATTTTGCTGCTGCTGCTGCTGCTGCTGCTACTCGCCAGGCACACGCTGCATTGGGTGCCTGAGCCGCCTCTGCTGCTGCTGCTGCTGCTATTGCTGCTGCTGCTGCTGCCTTAGCTGCTGTCTTTGGAACTTATAATTCAGTTGTTTCGCTTTGCTGTCAAGACACTGGAGGAGGGAGGGAATTACCAGTTTGGTTCTCTTCTCATTTTCATATTATTATTTTATATCTTATTCTATATTTTATTTCTTTATTTCTCATTTATTTGTTTATTTGTTGTTTGCCTTTTAAATTTAATTCTTCTCCTCTTATTTCCTCTTTATTTTTTCTGTGCTGCAGTGCCTGGGGGCGCTGCCGAAGCATGCAGCCCTAAACCCTAAACCCTAAACCCTAAACCCTAAACTTTAAACCCTAAACCCTAAACCCTGAACCCTAGACGTTAGCCCTCGGGATATATTGTTAGACATAATCCCGAAAGTGTTAAATGACACTTTGATGCTTTAATTCAAAATTTCTGTTCGCGAAGCACAATAATAACCTGCTGCTGCTGCTGCTGCTGCTGCTGTGCTGCTGCTGCTGCTGGTGTCGCCTGCATGCAGCCTTGGCAGCAGCAGCAGCAGCAGGTTGCACTGATTGTTTGTGATAAGTGAATTTGCGAAAATATAAAATTCAGAAGAGTAAAACTGAATTTCATTCTCTTTCTTTTTGCGTTTTGAGCTTTCGCGCATGCGGCGCGAGCTGTACGTACACCCCAACACCACAGCGAGCGGCGAGCTAGCGTTTCTTTCGGATTTTGGAATTTAATCCATTAATTGAAATTCTTTCCTTTTTCATTTTCATTTTTATTCTTTTTCTTCTTTTTCTTCTCCAATTCAACCCCAGAATCGCGCCCGGGGGCCCCTCCTTCGTGCAGGAGGCAGCTCCTAAGGTTTAGGGGTTTAGGGTTTAGGGTTTAGGGTTTGGGGCTTGAAGGCCAGGCTTTTCCGCTTGGGGCTCCCAATCCAGGTTCTAGGCTCTAGGAGCTCAGGACTCAGGGCCCTAGGGTTTAGGGTTTACGGGTTAGGGTTTAAGGTTTAGGGTTTAGGGCTTGGGGTTTAGGGATTAGGGTTTAGGGTTTAGGGTTTAAGATGACCTCCCGCAGCCGCCTGTTGAACGAAATAAAAGAGGCGGCGAGACAAAGCAAAGATGGAGATGTTATTTTAATGCCGGAGTGAGTTTAAATAAATAAATAAATAAATAAATAAATGAACAAACAAATAAATAAATAAATAAATAAATGAATCAGTAGTAAATGAATAAATAAATGAATAAACTAATTAATTAATTAATTAATTAATTAATTAATTAATTAATTAATTAATTAATTAATTAAAACAAAATCATTTTCGAATTTCAAAAAATAAAATTAATTCGGGCCAGCCCCTAATTGCATTCGTTACAAATCAGTTAATCAGTTATCTTTTATTTATTTATTCTTGTTTATTTATTAATTAATTATATTATTTTATTTATTTAGTTGTTGTAATTTATTAATTTATTTATTATTGATTTATTTATTTATTATTTGTAATAAATAAATAATTTGCACTCAAGTTTGCCATTTTCTTCTCTTCAGTTTTCAACTTTTCCTTTTTTGATGATTTTCTTTATTTCTTTTTAAACATTATTTATTCGTGTGTTTATTTATTTCTTTATCCTTATGTATTCATTTTTATTATTATTTATCTATTATTTATATATTTATTTATTTATATATTTATTTATATATTTATTTATTTATTTATTTATTTATTATTTATTTATATATTTGCAGCGAAGAAAGTATTCATGAGTGGAAGGCGCTCATCAAAGGGCCCCGGGGCTCTCCTTACGAGGTAATTTAAATAAACAAACTAAATTAAATTAAATTAAATTAAATTAAATAATTAATTAAATTACAATAAATAAATAATAAATAGTAATAAATGGAAATAATAGTTGTGGGAGTTAAAACGAAAGAGAAATCTTTTTTTTCATTTTCTTTTTTCTGCCATTTTTTGGAATTTTTATTTTTATTATTATTATTTACCTTGATTTATACTTTTATTTTCTTTCTTATTTATTTATTTGCCATTTAATAGATAAATTAATTAAAACAAATAATTAGTTAGTGAAACTAATTAACTAATTAACTAATTAGCGAATTAATTGATAAAACTAATTAATTAAGGGTTTATTAATTAATTGTTCAAACTAATTAATTAATCAAATAATCAATTAATCAATTAATTAATTAAACTAATTAATTAATTAATTAACTGAACTAATTAAATATTATATAATTAATTAATTAATTAATTAACTGAACTAATTAAATATTATATAGTTAATTAATTAATTAATTAAACTACTTAATTAAACTAATTAATTAATTGGTTATTTAATTAATTAGTTAGTTAAACTAATTAATTAACTAATTAATTAATTAAACTAATTAATTAATTAATTAGTTGATTAATTATCAAATTATTTAATTAATTACAAATTTCGCGAAGTGAAAATAATGAAAAAACCAAAAAGCCCCACAACTTCCCTCCGCATTAAAAAGCCATTTATTCATTTGCCTCCACTCCTTTAACTATTTATTTATTTATTTATTATTTATTTATTGTTTATTATTTATTTATTTATTTATTTATTGTTTATTATTTATTTATTTATTTGTTTGTTTATTTATTTATTTATTTATTTTTATTAGGGAGGAACTTTTAATTTGGATTTGCGCTGTTCTCCTTCTTACCCTTTATCGCCTCCGAGTGTATCTTTTGCGACGAAGTGTTTTCACCCAAATGTGGATTTTAAAGAAGGTAATTTCTTTCTTTTTCGTTCGTTTCGGGTCCTTTTTCGCTCCTTTTTCTTCCATTTTGATCGCTTTTAATTTTTTCAATCCTCTTTATTCTTTTTCTTCTTTTTGGTTTCTTTTTGTTCCAGAAAACAAAAGTTTTCGGCACTTTTTTGCTTTTTTTGGACTTTTTTTCGTTTTTTTGCCAAAAAGCACTTTGCTATTCTTCCAAAGTTACTTTCTATTCTTTTGTTTTTCTTTTCATTCATTCTATTCTTTTACTTCTTTTATTATTTCTTTTATTATTTCTTTTTTTTCTTTTATTATTTCTTTTATTTCTTTTATTATTATTTCCTTTATTTCTTTTTATTCTTTTAATCCTTTCAATTCTTTTATTTCTTTTATTTCTTTTAATTCTTCTATTTTTATATTTTAAAGTTCTTTTTAATTTTCAAATGCTTCCAAATTCCTGGATTTTGTTTTTCCTATTTTGGCCTCTTTGTGATTTTCTCTTTTAACAATTCTTAATCTTTTCTTTTTCGACCATTTTTGCTCCTTTTTGTCCCGTTTTTTTTGCAACTAGCATTTGGAGTGTTGGCGGATTTGAATCTGCGCTCAAAACCCTGATTTAGGGTTTAGATATCCTCCATTTTGGCGCAGGAAACATATGTTTGGACATTTTGCGGGACTCCTGGACCCCCGCCTGGTCCCTCCACTTCGTCTGCCTCGCCATCGCGGCTCTTCTCGACTCCCCAAATGCAGAAAGCCCCCTCAACTGCGACGCAGGTAGGGTTTAGGGTTTAGGGTTTAGGGTTTAGGGTTTTCAAGGGTTTTGGAGGGCTTTTAGGAGGGTTCAAAGGGGGGGTTAGAGGGGTTTGAAGGGGCTCTGAAGAGGAGTTCAAAACGGCGTTTAAACGAGGGTTTTAGGGGCAGGAGGCTCATCTGCGACGCAGGTAGGGTTTAGGGTTTAGGGTTTAGGGTTTCCAAGGGTTTTGGAGGGGTTTTAAAGGGGTTTAGAGGGGGCTTTAGGAGGGTTTGAAGGGATTTCTTTAGAGGGGCTTTAAAGGGGGTTTAAGCGAGGGTTTTAGGGTGCAGGGGGCTCAACTGCGACGCAGGTAGGGTTTAGGGTTTAGGGTTTAGAGTTTAGGGTTTAGGGTTTAGGGTGCTTAGGGGTTTTGGAGGGTTCTTGAGACGTTTCAAAAGGGTTTAAAGAAAGGGTTTAGAGGGGTCTGAAGAGGGGTTTTAAAGAAGGGTTTAAAGCGGGGGTTTAGGAGACATAACTGCGATGCAGGTAGGGTTTAGGATTTAGGGTTTAGGGTTTAGGGTTTTAAGGGGTTTTTGAGGGTTTTAGAGGCGTTTAAAGAAGGGTCTAGAGAAGGGTTTCAGGCTTTGAAGGGGGTTTAAAGAGGGGTTTAAATGGGGGTTTTAAATTATTTTATTTATTTATTTTTATTTATTTGTCTATTTACTTATTTATTTATTTATTTTTATTTGAAGGCAATTTGATTCGCCAAGGGGACATGAGAGGCTTCAGGTCGATGGCCCGAATGTACACACACGAATATGCCATGGGCAGCAAATAGCAGCAGCAGCAGCAGCAGCAGCAGCAAGAGCAGCAGCAGCAGCAGCTGGAGCAAGAGCAGCGGCTGCAGCAGGATGAGCTGCAAGAAAGGCAGCAACAGCTGCAGCAGCTGCAGCAGGATGAGCTGCAAGAAAGGCAGCAACAGCTGCAGCAGCTGCAGCGGTTGCAGCAGCAGCAGCAGCAGCAGGATGAGCTGCAAGAAGAGCAGCGGGGGAGGCAGCTGCTGCAGCAGCAGCAGCAGCAGTTGCAGCAGCAGGATGAGCTGCAAGAAATGCAGCAGCAGCTACAGATGCAGCGGCTGCTGCTGCTGCAGCAAGATGAGCTGCAAGAAAGGTAGCAGCAGCTACAACAGCAGCTGCACTCAGCAGCAGCAGCTGCTGCTGCAGCAACGGCAGCAGCAGCTGCAGCAACAGCTGCAGGAAAACCTGCAGCAGCTGCTGCAGCAGAATCGAATGGCTGCTTCTCAGGAACCGCAACAATATAGAAATCATTTCTGCATTTTTATTTCTTGATTTACTTTTTATTTTTTGTTATTATTTTTTTGCCTTTTTGCCTCAAGAGAGTATTTTGTAAACCAAAAGATATTAATTCAGCAGCAACAGCAGCAGCAGCAATGGTAGCAGCAGCAGCAATGGTAGCAGCAGCAATACTCGTAGCAGCAGCAGCAATAGTAGTAGAAGCAGCAACAAGGTTGACAGCGCCACCAGCAACAGTAGCAATAGTAGCAGCAACAGCAGCAATAAGAGAAGCAGCAGCAGCAGCAAGAGCAGCAGCAGCAGGAAGAGTGGCAGCAGAAGCAGCTGCAATGTAGCAGCAGCAGAGAGAGCCACAGCAGCAACGGCAACAAGATTCATAGCAGCAGGAGCAGCAGGAGCAGCAGCAGCAATAGCAGCAGCAGCAGCGACTGCTGCGGCAGCAACAGCAACAGCAGCAGCAACAGCAGCAGCAACAACGAATGCACACAAATCCAGCAGCAATGATCAGATCTCTTGTTCGTTTGTAGTTTGAGCTATTTATTTCTAATTAATTAATTTAAGTTATTTGTTTATTAATTGTTTATTCATTTGTTTGCTGTTTCTTTTTGTTTCTTTCGTTTAGTTTTGCATACGTAACCGAACGAGGGTTTAGGGTTTAGGGTTTAGGGTTTAGAGGCGACTACTAAAGCCGAATTCATTTTTTGAATTTTCTTTTTGTTTTAATTGCTGGAAAAACAAAAAATAATAAAAAGCATCGAAACGATAAGCAACAATTAAGCTGCTGCAGCTGCTGCTGCATGCAGGAGCAGCAGCAGCAGCAGCAGCAGCAGCAAAAGCAGCAGCTGATCATCTGTAACTCTTTTTGAAACGCGGAATAAACCAAAGGAAACTAAATAATTATAATTTTAATTTAACTTTTAATCTTTTATTTTATTTTATTTATTTCTTTCATTTCATTTTTCCGTTTGCAGAAACGAGCTGCTGAGGTGTATGTACACCCCGCGCCCCCGCCAGCTGTCCGCGTCGCCGCGCGAAGCCGAAGGCGAATATGACAATAAATTGAAGTTTTAAATGAATAAATAAGTTAAAAATAATAAATAATTAAATTTTAAATGAAAAGAATAGCAATGAATTACAAAACTTTTATGTTCCCGCCTTCTTTTGTCGCGACAGCTCGTACCACTCAAACCCTAAACCCTAAACCCTAAACCCTATACCCTAAACCCTTGGCCAGCAGCAGCAAATCGAAACAGATATTTTTGTGCCTAGACATCTCATGGCTCTCCCTCGTGCTTTTGCCCTTGCTTGCATCTTCCCCGTCCAAAAGGCTACAGCAGCAGCAGCAGCAGCAGCAGCAGCAGCAGCAGCAGCAAGAACAGCAGCAACGACTGCAGCAACAGCGACAGCAGCAACAACAGCAGCGAGATCGGCAGCTTTCAGCAGCAGCAAAATATGCAGTAGCCAGGCTGCCCGCTGCGCGGAGCAGCAGCAAGAACAGCAGCAGCAGCGCGACCGCAACCAGCAGCAGCAGCAGCAGCAAGATCAGCAGCAACAGCAGCACCAGCAGCAGCAGCCCACAGTGGAGCAGCTGCTGCAAGCTGTGCAGCTGTACCGAGCAATACAGCGGCAGCACCGGCGGCTGCTGCTGCCCCTGTCTGCTGCTGCAGTTCGCTTTGCAAACAAATTTGCTGCTGCTGAATTCAGGGCAAACGCAGCAGCAGCAGCAGCGGCCATCCGCAGCAGCAGCAGCAGCGCCGCAGCGGAGGTTGAGCAGCAGCAAGCAGCAGCAGCAGCAGCACAAGTGCCCCCATCAAGCGCCACGCAGGAACACCAGCAGCAGCAGCAGCAGCAGCAGCAGCATTCTTTTGCTTCTTTTGGGATGTTTTTAAAAGAGTGGCGCAGCTATTTAGCAGCAGCAGAAGCAGCAGCAGCAGCACGCGGGCTGTCTAGACAGCTGAAGCCCTCGCTGCTGCAGCAGCTGACGCAGCAGCAGCGGGAAAGTTTGGGACTTTTAAAAAAAGCAATTTTGCAAAACAAATCAAAAACTTAATTCTTTTATTAATTAATTTAAATAAATTAAAATTCTATTTCATTTATTTTAATTAAATCAAAATTCCATTTTTTCATTTATTTTTCTTTTGCTGCTGTCGCCAGCTGCAGCAGCTGAACTCCAGCCCTTATTTGTTCCTTCTTAGCCTGCCATGTTACTTGCTTTGCTGCTGCTGCTGCTGCTGCTGCTCGTGCTGCTGCTGCTAGTGCGGCTGTTGCTGCTGGTCCTTTTGCTGCTGCTGCTAGTGCTGCTGTTGCTGCTGTTGCTGTTGCTGCTGCTGTTGCTGCTAGCGCTATTGCTGCGAGTACTGTTGCTGTTTCTAGCGCTGCTGCAGCTGCACTAGGGTGCTGCAGCAGCAGCAGCAGCTGCTGCAGCTGCACTAGGGTGCTGCAGCAGCAGCAGCAGCTGCTGCAGCAGCTGCTGCTGTTCCTGAAGAAGCAAGTATGGGAATAGAATAAGTAAAAATAAAAAGAAACGAATAAATAAAATATTAAAAATAAATAATCAAAATAAATAATTAAAATAAATAATTAAAAGTAAATTTGTTTTTAATCTGCGGGGCCCAAATAAGTTATTTTGACAGTCGGCCTGAAACGCACACGAGGTGTACGTACAGCCGAAATCAGCGGGAAAGAAACCAACAACTAATTAATTCAAAGCAGCAGAAGCAGCAGCAGCAGCAGCAGCAGCTGCTGCTGCTGCTGCGGAAGAAGCGGGAGGGCGCGGGGCGTCCCGTGCATCACTGAAAGTCCCAACAACAGCAATAGCAGCAGCAGTAGCAGCAGCAGCAGCAACAGCACCACCACGATCATCATCAGCAGCAGCAGCTGCAGCAGCAGCAACAGCACCACCACAACCAGCAGCAGCACAGCAGCAGCACTACTTCAAAACCAGCAGCAGCAGCAGCAGCAGCAGCGCTGCCTCCAAAACCAGCAGCAGCAGCAGCAGCAGCAGCAGCACCTGAAGAGTCCCTGGGTGTCTGCTTGGAGTTTAACTTTGATTTTGGAAAAGACAGAAATTAAATTCTGTTTAAATTTTAATTCTCCTTTAATTCCGTCGAACTCCAACCCCCCCGGAGATGTAAATATCACTCCTGAATTAAATAAAAAATAATTAAATCAATTAAATTAATTAAATTATTTAATTAAACTAAGGTCAACTAAATTAAATATGATTTAATGAACTTATTGATTAGACTGAATTAATTAAAATGAATTGCGAAATAAATAATTAAAAGGAGTTGAAAGGCTGCAAACTCGAAATTAAACAGAGAAGCAAATGTTACTTCTGGAATTGAAATTTAATTAAAATAAATAAAAATTGATAAATTAAAAGGAATATAACAAATAAAACAAAATAAAATAAAAAGATAAATAAGAGAAATGGAACAAACAAAATAAATTAAAGGAAGTGAAACAATAAAAAGAAGCAAAAGAAAATAAAGAAAAACAGAAGGAAAAAAGAGAAAATAAAAGCAAAACAAACGAAATACAAAGAAATGGAAGAAATAAAAAAATAAAAGAAATAAAAGAAATAAAGAAAAATAAAAGAGATAAAGAAAAAAAAGAAATAAAAGAATAAAGATGATAAAACAAATAAAACAAATAAAAGGAATAGAAAGAAACGAAAAAAAATAAAAAGAAATAAAACTAAAAGAAATAAAACTAAAAGAAAACAAATGGCCTTTCGAGGAAAAGCTATTCGAAACCGATCCAAAACAAGCAAACGAACTAAACCAAATAAACCAATTAAATCAAAATTAAATTAATTAAACAAACAAATAAATAAACAAACAAATAATAGATAAATAATAAATAAATAAATAAAAAGTAAATAAAACTCACCCTCGAGGCCAAACTCGGGTACGTACACCCGAGCGCCGTTGCGGCTGACTTTGGTGACGAGAGCTTTTGTCACTTTTTCTTTTTTATTTAAAAAATATAAAAACACAAAATAATTAATGGAGTCTCGCGCGGCTTGCTGCGCCTGCCGCTGCCGCAAATTCAGCAAGTCCACCTGCGCAGAAAGCTGCGGCAGCAGCAGCAGCAGCAGCGCAGCAGCAGCAGCAGCAGCGCAGCAGCAGCAGCAGCGCAGCAGCAGCAGCGCAGCAGCAGCAGCAGCAGCGCAGCAGCAGCAGCGGCGGCGACGAAGGAAAAACGGGCGTTTGCGCCGGGGAATGGTGGCCCTGCTGGGGGCCTGCTTGGAGGTGGCCGAGGGTTTAGGGTTTGGGGCTGCGTCGAGGGTTTAGGGTTTAGGGTTTAGGGTTTACGGCCTTGGGATCCGCGAGGGTTTGCGGCAGCGGCTCCAGCTGCAGCGCAGCAGCAACAAGGCGGTGCACCAAAACATCTGCGTAGCGCCGAATGGGCGAAGTGAAGTGCGTGTACAAGTCCTCAGCCAACCCGTAGTGGTACCTGCTGCTGCT